CCCTTCTGGTTCGGTACGCCCTCCTTCATGCCCGAGCGGTCCCTAACCAGTAGTAAGATTTCCGGTATAGCTTCCGTCAAAGCTTCACTCCTTTGACGTAAGACTGGATCCGTGAGAACCCTGCTACAGCAGGGCAAGCCGCAAGAGTCTCTTAACTCAAGAGAACACACCCAAGAAGTGCTGAAATACCAGCACCGGGACCAAGGTGCACGTGACCCTCCTTCGACGCGAGGGGCCCCCTCCTTGCCGTGTGGCACCGTCGCCTCTTCCAAAGCATCGGACCTATCCGGCACACACCCTGCACTCAAGCACACAAGGCACAGCACGCAGCCGAGACACACTTTGTCCATTACACAGAGGCGAGAAGTCACTTCCCCCGGCCACCGCCACTGGAACTCCCCCAGATGAAGGAGAGCCAGGATGACCCGGCACCGGACCCGCCCGATGAGGGCGAGGCTCCATCTTCGCCGGCCGGATCGCCCGGCCCCCCGAGTGACGAGGAGGATGCCGATCCGCCACCATGCGCATACCCGCCGGCGCCACTGCCACCGCTGGCGCCCGCCCCGGCAATGGACATCGGGTGCGACCGGGCCCCGGCAGCCATGGCACTGCCATCGTCCGACGACCGGTCCCCGGAATGGTGCACACCGGCAGCCGAGGCACCCCCGGCACTGGCGCCGGCCGTGCCCGGGCGCCCACCGCCAGCCGATCGCAGATGACTCAAGACAAAGGGCCGCGCCCGGACCTCCAGGTGCATGGCCGAGGGAGCCACCGACTCCGCCCCGGCCGGCAAATAGGACTGGGTGTAGGAACTGCTGGAGCGCGCACGTGGCCAGGGGGCGCCGCCCGTGGCCGATGGGTCCTCCGTTTGGAGGATGCTGGTCAAGCGCGATGGCCGGGGCTGTGCCGCCAGGCCAGACGCCTGGCGACCGGCCGAAGGCATCGCCGGCGCGTTGGCCCCACTGGCGACCGCCAGTCGCGGCGGCTGCCGCGACCATGCCCCCAGGGCACACAGCCCGGTGCATGTGAAGGTCCGGTATGTGTCGCCTGCCGTGGGGTGGTACACGCCCGGAGGGGGCACCACCAACGCGGTGGCCGAGGTCGGGGCCACGCGGCGCCGGGCTCGAGCGGGCCCCGGCCCCGGTGCCGATGGCCCCGGCGGATGCCGGGCAAAGGCAGCGAGCGACGTGTCGATCGGCGCCAGTGCCGGCCGGTCCGGGACAGCGGACGCACACTTCCGCAGCGGCATCAGCGGCACCAGAGACCCTGGGCAGGCGCAAATGGCCGGCCGCGGTGGCACCGTCCGGCCCGCGGAGGCACCCAGTCCGGGAGCCAGGTCGGCTGGCCCCGGCACAGCGGCAGCAGCAGCAGCAGCAGCCGCCGCCGCCGCCGCTGCCGCGGCGGCCGTCGCTCGCAGTTCGGCCAAGTGGTCGCCGCGAATCAGCTCCGCAAGGTGCTGCAAATGATCGGGGGGAGAGAAGGAAGGCGCGCGCGCGCGCGCGAGAGAGAGAGAGAGAGAAAGGGCCGTCATGGGGTTGATGTCAGCGAAGGCGACCCGGGCCCCGCGGCCAGGGGGGCAGGCGGGGAGGGGGCGCGTGCGAGAGACCGAGACACATGGGCATCGCAGTCACGGCCACACGCACCTGGACCATGGCCACGTCACACGGGGAAAGGGCCAGGCGCGAGGAGAACTCCCGGAGGAGATTGATCGACGACACGATCGACTGGCCTTGCCCTGTGGGAGACGGCGCGCCGCGCACGCATGCAAATGCCCACACTGACACACACACACACACACATGGGCATCGGTGGCCCCAGGGCCAGTGTCAGAGGCACGATCAGGCAGGCGGGGAAACACAAATCGACACAAAGACCAAGTGCAACGACGCACGACCTGGAACCGGACGGAGGGACCCCATCCGGCCGCCGCCGGGGCTCCCCATGCCGGGGTAGTACTTCTGCGAGCATAGGGTCGCCTGGGGCTCCGTCGGCAGGGGCTCGAACTCGAAGCCCAGCACCAGGGCCTGGAAGTAGACGAAGGCCTTCCGCGACAACTCGGTCAAGAGGATCTGCGATTGGATCTGCAGCTCGGCCGGGGGCTACACATCGATGCATGTGCGCAAGCAAACGCACGCGCACCCATAGGGGGGGGGGGGGAATCCAAATGCAGGGGCAAGTTCCGGATCAAAAAGCAAGCAAACAAGCAAGCACCCATCTGTCAGCAAATGCGGCCCCGGGGCCCGCCGGTACGGCGCACGACCAGGAACAGATCACAGCCAAGCAGCCGGCATGCACGCACGCTCTTGACGATGCGCTGGACCTGGCGCGGGTCCAACAGCGCTCCAAAGTACAGCGGCCCAGCCACGGTGTACTTGTCGATGTTCAGCACGGTCACGTAGGGCTACTCGGGGGAGCATGGGCATGGTCAGTCCGGGGAGGGAGAGAAGCACCGGCCAGAGGATGGACTAACACCGGACGACCAAGGCAAAGAGGAGGTGTCTTCCGGGGGGCAAGCAAGGCCCAGGCACAGCACGCACAGTGATGGTCACTGGAATGATGACCCGATTGGACACGCCCATAAGCTTGATGCGAGCCAGAGACAGGAGCGTCAACGAGGCCTCCTCGGCCGAATCAACCCAAGGCCGGACACCTGGCGGGGCGAAGCTGCTCTGTGGCAGCAGCTGTTGTAGGGCGGCCACAATCTGCAGCGCGGTGCTGGTGACAAGAGGCGGTGAGCGGATCGCTGGGACCATGGCGACCGTGTGCCTGTGCGCGCACACACATACACACATACACATGTGCCGTGTACAGGCGCGCGTGCTTGGGTGCTCACGTTCATGCGAAAAAGGCCAAACGCAAGGGAAGGGACACGCACTCCTTAGCCAAGGGATCGGCAACCACAATCACCGGACGCCCGGTGAAGATGCTGAAGAGCAGCCGCGCCGCAAAGGCCGGCTGCTGCTCGAGGAATTGCAAAGGGGGCGGGGCTTTGGCACCCGGGTCCTTCTGGAGATGGGAATACTTGTCGGCAAGCCTGCGCCAACGAGAGGGAGCGAAATTAGACCGTCATGCAGGGGGAAAAATGCAAATGTGCCAGGGAGCGGAGGAAGAGCAAGAGATAGCGATAGAGAGAGCAGCAGGGCGGTGGGGATGCCAGAGGCAACGGGAAGAAGGAGGCCCCCGACGTCGAAAAACGTCGCAATGGAGGACGCACAGCTGCGGCCATAAGACATTCGAGGAGGACTGCCGACGCCAGGGAGCAGGCATGGCGTGATAGAAAAATCAGTCCCTTCGCACGTGGAAAGAAGAGGGAGAGAGAAAAGAGGGGGGAAAAGATCGGAGAGCAAGGCGCGGGGAGGGGGCGCACATCCAGACGGCTGAGGAAAGCCAGCGCCGGATTGGTCCCCGGCGCGGATTGGGGCACAGTCACCGGGGCAGAGGGGGGCTGCACAAGCGCCAGGGGCAGGACCAAAAGTCAGCACAGGCACACGCGAGGAAAGGCGCAGCAAAAAGGGGAGAGAGGACGGGAAAGGAAGAGCAAAAGCAAAAAAAAAACGGAGCAAAAAAAAGGAAAAAGAGGAGCAGGCACGCACGCGGCGAGAAAGCGCCACCGGCAAACCTCCCGGAGATGCGGCCACTTGATCGCCGAATGTCAGCCCCCCGAAGGCCGCATCGCCGAAGAGGAGATGCGTGCCGAGAGGGTGGCGCGGGGGCGTGGTCCCGGCGGCCCCAAGGTCGAGGTCCATTCTCGGGCCGGCGCCCAGGTCGAAGGCATCCCACTCGGAGGTGTCCTCCAGCTCCTCGCGCTCCAGCTGCAGGAGGTAGGACGGTTTGTTGAAGGACCGAATCAGGGTGCGGAGCTTCTCAAAGGCCACGCGGAATTCGCTGGCCCCGGCGGTCGATGCCGAGCCGGTGGATGGGGCGCCCTCCGAGAAGTGGGCATCGGATTCAGGACCGCCGCGGCCCTGCGAGGCACAGCTGAAGCACCCGCACGTGCCGCACCCGGGGAACAGAGTGTCCACGCTGGTAAGCTCGTCGATAGACCGGAGGTGGGTTTCGAAGCGCGACAGCTTGTACAGGTGCCGCATGAAGGTGGGCGTATGCCCGCAGGGGGGAAAGGCATCCGCCGGACCGGACAGCTCGGCCGGCGTGGCATCCACCGGCTGCGGGCCATACGTCTCCTCGTGGATCCGACGCCGGACCATGCGCTGTTGGTGCGGGCAGTTGTGGCGACCGGCATGGTGAGCTTCGAGCAGACCGGCCGACAAGAGGGGCATCATCACAGCACGCACAATCATCTCACGGGACTCCTCCAGCAGGGAATCGATGTTCTCCGGACCAATGAGCTCCAAGCCGTCCTCATCACTGACACGGCCCTGCGCGTGGGCGCCAAAGGAGGAGGGGAGATTCCACGGGAAGGGTCATTAGTATGGCAGGGCCATGCGCGTTCACGCGCCAAGGAGGATGAAAGAGCGAAGGAGTGGGAGTGGGAGTGGGAGAGGGAGAGCGAGGGAGGGCGAAGGGAGGGAGGCAGCGGGGCCCACTGCCACGCACCAGCTCGTAGGCCAATCGAGCGGCTGATTCCGGCGAAGGATCCGTCCAGAGACTTTTGGTGAATTCCAAATCGGCGTTGCGCGAGTACAGATCCCGAAGGAAGATGCGCCGGTTGATGTCCTTCAAGGGGGTGGCAATCTGAGACCCCCGCCCCCCGCGGAGCCAAATCCATCAAGGTGAGCGTGATGCCAGCCGGGCGGAGAGCCATGCGCCCGTGCGGGACCCGGAGCAGGGCGGAAAGGAAGGCAGCGCCAGCGGACAAAGCGCACCTGGGTAAAGAGAGCCACGAACTCATCGAAGAAGGTCATCATTTTGGTGGGCTCCATGGTGGCCACATATGAAAAGCAGAGTGGCCGAACGTAGCCGCGCGCCTGCAAGTCGTTCAGGGAAAAGTTGTGTACATACGCATAGTACTTGACCGTCTGCCCCTCATCGACGATGTCAAAATCGCCATCGCTGCCGGCCGACAGCGGATAGCCGGGCCCATTGTGATCCCCGGTGGACACACCGGCCGGTGAGGCATTCGAGGAAAACACCGGCACCATCGACTGCCCGGGAATGAGGTCCTGCTCATCGATCAGGAAGACATGCGTATCATCCGGCATATATACACTGTCGTTGTACCTGCGCGTCGGGGGAGAAGCACCAGGAGGTAGGTCGGTCAGCACAGGGGTCAGGTTCCGAGCTGGACAAGGGCAGTCGGCATTAAAAGGCGGAAGGTCGCAGGTGCTTGCGTGCGCGCGCGCGCGTGAGTGTATGTGTGTGTGTGCGTGCGCGCGCGCGCGCGCGCGCGCGCGCGCGCGCGCGTGTGTGTGTGTGTGTGTGTGTGTGTGTGTGTGCGTGTGTGTGTGTGTGCGTGTGTGTGTGCGTGTGTGCACGTGTGCAGTTGTGCATGCGTGTGGCGCGCGGCAACACCAGGGCGCACTTCGTCTTGGTTTGGTAGTCCACGGCCATGATGCGCACGACAAAGGAATTGAGCGTGGCTGCAATGCGGCGGTCCACGGCGGCCATGCGTTCCGGCAGGGTGCACATCGGAAGCGGGCCCTGGAGTTCGTCGAATTCCGAGATCAGGATGAAGTCCGATCCCAAGAAGGCCTCGGTCACCTGAGAGGTCGATGTGGCAGGGACCGAGGAGGGCGGCACATTGGGCCCCCCGGTGCCGACACCGGGCCCGGCGCCCGGCCCACCGAAAGGCGCCTCACTCAGGGACGAGGTGGACTCCAGCGAGGTTGAGAGCTCGAAGTGCCCGTCATTTGGGGGAGCCACGCGCGTCAGGGGCGCCGGTGCCTGGGGCATTTGCGGCGAATGCTGCTGCTGATACTGCAGCGAGGCAATGTAGGCCGAGGAGTGCATCGGTAGGATCGACGACCCGGGCGAGTGAAGAGGCTGATACGTCGTCAGGAGCGACTGCGAGGTGTACGACGACCGGAACAGGGGATTCCCCAGGCCCAAGAAGGAGGAGGAGCTCAGGCTACTGGAGTAGCCGGGCCCCTCGGTGAGCAGGTTATTGAAATCCATCCCGCCACCGGCGTTGATGGACATCCCCGGGGCCGAGATCGCCGGGACGGGGCTCGCAGGGCTCGATGGCCGTGCATAGTACGCGGACATGGCCCGCCAGGCCGAGTGCCCGGAGAAGCAGTGAAAGGCGCAATCACAGTCACTGGCGTGGACCTTTTCCAGGGAGGCGTGCGGGCCGCTGGTGGCGGGCCGCTCGCGCAGGCAGCCCACCCCGGTGGCCAGGTCGGTACCCAGGTAGTACCGGTCAAAGGCAGGCAAGATGCCAGCCGGCGGGCAGGCGGCAGCCGGTGGGCCGGCCGGCCCCGCCCGGCCGGGGTCCGTGAACTCGGCCAGGGCCTGGCGTTGCATGCGTTGCTGGGCCTTGGGGTTGCGGGCGGTCAGCTCGGCCAGCTGGCTGGCGCTTGGCATCCAGGCAATATCGAGCCTGGCATCGCCGAGGTTTGATTCCACCAGGGGGGACGACATCACCAGGGAGCAGGGCAGAGGCGGGGCAAAAAAAAAAAGAAAAAAAGGAAGGACGCGGAGTCCGAAGGCAGTGAAGAAACGAGGAGGCAACTGCTTCCCCCCGGGGGTATGGCCGGACGGGAAAAGGGGCGGAGGTGTGGCAGCGACGCGAGCGGGACAGGGGGCGCAGGAGGGGAGGGGACGGAGGACGAGGGACAGTGAGGCTCGCAGGTGGGCCAGCACGCCACTGTGGGGCATCCGTAAAAGGGTCCTGCCGGCCGTATCAAAACAAAGCAGCCGCGGGTTGTGGCGCGCGGGGGACGCGCGATCGTGCTGCCCGGACGCGTCTTTTCCCACCGGGGTGGGTGGGTGGGTGGCCCGGGGGAACACCACTTGGCCAGCTGGCGAGTTGTTTTTTCCCGCGTCCCACAATGTGAGACCGATCGCGGGCAGGCCCGCCGACGCCGGGCGGGGGCCGTGGTGTGGCGGGAGGCTCGGCTCGGACTCTGCCCCTCCCCGGGGAAAGTGAGAGGTCTGGTTGGAGAAGCTGTTCGGGCATCTCCGCCCCGTCCTCCGCTGCTGCGCCTCCGGGGTTGCGCCCTGCGCGGCGTCCGGTCCCGGGCCCCAGCGAACTGGGCCCTGGCGGGGAGCCAGACCGGGAGGTGTGTTTGTGGGCGAGATATGCCAACGATCCGGCATCACGCCCCACACGAGTCAGGCGATTTATGTGTCACGCCCAAATATGTCATTTAGTCTCTACTCCCCATCTCCCGACTTCTGTGATCCCGGCTGGCGGTGTTCGGTCTCTGTGCCCGCCGGTGCTTCCACCCGTTCGGGCTGGTCCATCGTCCTTGGGGGGAGGGGAGGGGGCAGGACGCGAGAGAACGGGCAATATTGTCGGGGCGTCCCTTCCTGGCCGGGCGTTCTTCTGATTGCTGTTGTGCCTTCTTCAACCCTCCGCCACCCCCGCCTCCTCCCCCCGGTGCCGGGCTGCGCGCTGTTGTTATTGTGTCTGCCATGTCCAAACGCGAGCCACGCCGGCGGGCGTGTGTCTCGGCACCTGCCTGCTGGTTGGAGGTGGCGGCGAGCCCGCCATTCGTTGTCAGCACTCTGGCGCTCTTTGGGCCCTGCTTGCCGGGGAAGGGGGGGAGCGGGGGGGCGCGGCCGCAGGACAGCCACAGCCAGCCAGGGGCCCCGGCGGCGTCCGGCAGCATGTCGCGCTCGTAGTTTTCCCGAGGGCCCGCGGTTTTACACTGCCGGGCCCCGGGGCCGGGCCCCGGGAGAATAGCCCGGACATTCTGGCGCGCCCTTGTTCCAGCGACCGCCTGATTAATTGCCTGCGCCTGGGAGACAACACCGGCGGCATGCTGGGTGGCGGATGGCCGGGTTCCTCGCCCGGCCGCCGCCCGACCACCCCCCCGACAGAGACGGTCCCGCCTCCGTCCCGCCCCTCCCCCCTCCTAAGGCCGTGACCGGACGACCCTGTCCCAGGCCCGAGTGGTGTCAAACGCCCACCTTGTTCCGCCCCCTCCGGAGAAGTGTTCCCTGCTCGGGCTGGACCGCGCTCCGGCGAATCTGGCCGATCAGCGGAAAAGCCCCCCCCCCCAGCCTCACGGGCGCCGGTCCCCGCCCCAGCAAGCCTTTACCCCTCCCCCTCCTCCGCTCTACTCTCCCTTGGTGTACCTCCAGCCTGTCCTTCCCCGCCCTCTCCCGCCCCCCCCCTCCAGCCCTCCAGCCCTCCCTCGCTCCCTTTCCCTCTCGCCTCCCGAGTGGCAGCTCCTGATCTTCCATTTTCCGCCCCGTCTCTCCCCACCCCCTTGGACACAGGTCGCCGACTCCCGCCGCGTCACCCTCCCCTCTGGCCCTCTTGCCCTCGTGTCCCTCTCCCCACATCCACTGTATCCGACCCCCTCCCCCGTCTCCTTTGAGCCTGGCAGGCGAAGCCGACCCCTCGCACCAAAATGATGCCCGTTGGCGCCATGGGCGGAGCGATGCGGAGCAAGGATGAAGACTCCCGTGCGCGCTCCCCGACCCCCCCCCCCCCTCCCCCTCCTCCCGCGTTGCCCGTGTCTCTTCACGCTTGCCGCCCCTCGCCCGGTCTCCGCCTCACACCTACCACCCCCCCCCTCCCCCGTGTCTCTTGTCTGCCCCACGATGGCCATGGCGGCCGCGGTGACCTGCCTCCGGCCAGACGACCGCTCCCGCTTTTCCCAGGTCGACAAGTACACCGTCCTCCAGGATGCTCGCGTCTTCAACAACGCCGGATCCGACAACATCACCAAGTGCCTGCAGGTCCTGACCCGGATCATGTACCTGCGCACCTGCAAGGGTGAGGCCTTCACCGAGCAGGAGGCCACCAACCTCTTCTTCGCCGTGACCAAGCTCTTCCAGAGCCGCGACGTATGTGCCTGTGCTTTGGCCCCCCCCCGCTGCTTCCTCTTGCCTTCCATGGCCCCAGCTGTCTCTTACCCTCGTGCTTTTTTTGCCCCTCCCCCCCCCCCCTTCCCCTTCCCGGGTTGTCCTCCCGCGCACATAGGTGAACCTCCGGCGAGTGGTTTATCTGACCATCAAGGAGCTGGCCCCGATGGCCAGCGATGTGATCATGATCACGTCCAGTCTCATCCGCGATGTGTCCTCCGCCTCGTCCAGCGTGGATGTCGCCGCTGGCGAGGGCGCCATCTATCGGGCCAACGCCCTGCGTGCGCTCATCTCCATTGTCATGACCGACGTACGTTGCCACTGCTGTGATTGTGCACCATCCGCTGCCACGGCCCGGCCGCACGCGTACACACACACACCCACCCACCCATACACTGACACACGCCGATCGACTTTCCTCTTATGCCCCCCCCCCCCCCTCCCCCCCTGACCACATGTCTGCTCGTGGCACCCTTCACCTGTAGCCCTCCGTTCTGCCGTCGGTTGAGCGCCTCATTCGCCAGGCCATTGTCGACCGGTCGCCGGTGGTGTCCTCCGCCGCGCTGGTCTCCTCGCTGCGCCTGCTCTATACTGGTGGCAGCTCGGCCTCCATGATCCGCGAGACCATCCGCCGCTGGATCCAGGAGGCCACCGAGGCCATCTCGCGCCAGTGTACGCCCACCAACAGCCCCCCCCCCCCACCGGATGGCCTATCCCCCTGGCTGGGGATCGCCTTTTCCCAAGCTGCCCCCCGGCCGCGTCATTCACCCCCCTCGTCCGCCCACCCGTCCACTGGTTCACACGCCTTTGCAGCCCCCATGATCAAGTACCACGCGATGGCCCTCATCTGCGAGATCCGCTCGCGCGACCGCACCGCCGTCCTGAAGTTCCTCCAGTCCATCATGCAGTCGGTCAATGCCGGCTTCATTGGCAATTCCCCGCACGCCACCATGATGCTGGCCCGGCACATTGGCACCATCCTGCGCGAGGAGAGCCCCGACAGCGGGTGCGATGCGATCTTTCCTAGCCCCCTCGCCTGTGCCTCGCCCCCTGCCTGATCCCCTGACAATGGGCACATTCTCTCTCTCTCTCTCTCTCTCTCTCCCCCCTTCCCCCCTTGCCCCGTTCGCACTGCCCTCTCTGGGATCCACAGCGCCCGCAAGCAGTTCTACCCCATGCTGGAGTCGCTTGTCCGGTACAAGAGCGACATGGTGGTCCTGGAGGCCGCGCGCGCCATTGCCGCCCTGCCGAGCGTCACCAGTCGCGAGCTTCTGCCAGCCATCTCTGGTACGCGCGCACTCATGCCTGCCCTGCCCTGCCCGTCCTTGCCATCGCCCGCTCCCTCCCTCCCCCTCCGCTGCTGCCCATTGTCCCCATACTGACGACGCCATCCACGCAGCCCTTCAGCAGTTCCTCTCCTCGGCCCGGCCACTGTTCCGGTTCTCCGCCCTCCGGACCCTGGCCCAGATTGCCGCCAGCCACCCGCTGTCCGTGTCGCAATGCAACCTCGACATCGAGGCCCTGGTGGCTGATCCCAACCGGTCGATAGCCACTTTGGCCGTGACTACCCTGCTCAAGGTAGGACTGTCTCTTCTTGGTGTCTCCCCTCCCTTCGTCTGTCTTCGCACCCTTCCTCTGGACAAGAGCTCTTTTTTTGACCATTTTCCACCCTCCCATCCCCCCCCCACACACACCCACACACGCAGACGGGCAGTGAGGCTTCGGTGGACCGCCTGCTGGTTCAGGTGGAGGCACTGATGCCGGAGATGCCGGATGAGTTCCGCTGCGTCCTGGTCGATGCCGTCCGGGCCCTGTTCTTCAAGTTCCCCTCCAAGCAAACCCGCCTGGTATGTCCCCATGCGTGCATTCGTGCGTGCCGTGGCTGCGGCTTCTGCCACGCCGCGCCACGCCGCGCCACGCCACGCATCTTGCCTGTCCCCCGAGTGCCCTCCTTTCCTCCCCGGGCAAGCGACACTGACACCCCCCCCCGCCCGGCTGTACAGTTCCACTTCCTGGCCTCCTGCCTGCGGGATGATGGCGGTCTTGCCTTCAAGCGCTCCCTGGTTGATGCCCTCATCACCTGTGCCCATAATGTTCCCGAGTCGCGGGAGTTCGGTGCGTGTCCCCCTTCCCTCCGCCGTGTCCTCCATCCATGCGCCCACGCCGGCACCCACGTGCACATCGCTTGGTTGTCTTTCTCACAGTCACCCCCCCCCCACCATCTTTGTTCGTCTCCCGCTCCGGCCTGTGTCCAGCCCTCCTCCACCTGTGCGAGTTCATCGAGGATTGCGAGTTCCCGGCACTGGCCATTCGCGTGCTGAATTTCCTTGGCGCCGAGGCTCCGAACACTTCTTGCCCCGGGAAGTTCATCCGGTGCGCATCTCACACGTTTTCTTCCCTGCCCTCTCCCCTTCCTGCTTCCGTCCTGCTTGCTTTTGCCCCCCCCGGTCCTTCGCGTGCCCCTCGTGCTCATACTCCGACCCCTTCGCGCGCATGCCAGCTACATCAACAACCGCGTCATCCTGGAATCGGCGCCAGTCCGCGCGGCTGCCTGTTCGGCCCTGGCCAAGTTTGCCCTGAGCCCGCCCCCCTCGTCGGTCCCGCTGCCGTCGGCCGGCGGGGACGAGCTCTCACGCGAGGACTACATGCTGGCCCTGCGCACGGCGCGCGAGACCCATGCGTCGCTTCGGAAGTCCGTGCGGGTGCTGCTGGAGCGGTGCACGCGCGATGCCGATGACGAGGTCCGCGACCGGGCGTCGTACTACTGCTCGCTCATTGACGCGGTGATGCTGCAGTCGGCACTGGCCGCCGGTGGTGGGGCCAAGCCTGGCGCGGCGGAGACCGGCTTCGGGGAGAGCGACTTCGCCGATGCCATGGGCACCCCGCTCGAGGAGGAGCTGCTTGGCTACATCGGCGCCAAGGGTGTGTCTCGCTCGCTGTTTGCTCTCGCCCTGCTCCCCCCCCCCTCCCCTTCCTCTGCCACTGCCCATGGGCTTGTCCTGCTGCTAACCGGCCCCCGCCCCCCCCCCCCCCCCATCCGCGCCTGGTCCCCTCGATACAGACACCATCATCGTCCCCAACGCCAAGGATATCCTGGATGCGTCGACCCTCTCGCCGGGAGCGGCCAGTGGCACGGCCCTGTCGCCTGGTGGCGCGGCCGCCGGCAATGATTTCGCCAAGCTGGCCGACGTGTCGTCGGTTCTGCTCTCGGTGCCGCAGCTGTCGCCTTATGGCGTGCCCCTCCGGTCCTCGGCCGGTCCGGTCCCTCTGACCGAGGCCGGCACCGAGTTCTCGGTGGCCCTGGTGAAGCACATCTACAAGTCGGTGGTGGTGCTGCAGTTTGACATTGCCAACACCCTGGCCGAGCAGCAGATCGAGGATGTGTCGGTGGAGCTGGACCTGGACCAGTATGGCGGCATCTGCCAGGCGGAGCTGGTCCTGCCGGCGCCGGTCATCGGCCCGAATGAGACCGCCCGGAGCTTCATCGTCCTCCGGGCCACCGAGTCGGTCCCGGTCACCGAGGACACGGTTCTGACCCCGGAGATGGCGGCCGTCGGGGCGGTGACCATGCCGATCGTGGCCTCCTTCGGGACGCACCTGCTGTTCACCGTGCGCGACATCGATCCCGACACGATGGAGCCCTCGCCGAGCTCCTACACCGATCGCTATGATGTGCGTGTGCCCAGCCGTGTTTCTCGGCCCAGCCTGTGGTTCTTCCCTCTTCCCCCCCTTCTCTCTCTCTCCCTCTCCCTCCCTCTCCCTCTCCC